GTAACCTGGATGGCCTACCTGCCTGTCACTTCCATCGTGCACAAACTTATCCTCGTGCCCTCATTGGTCATCGTGGCGTTCCGTGATGTGTTGGAGGAGGGGCTCTGTTAGAAGTCTGAAGAAATGGGGCAGATTTTTCCGGTTGTATATTTTCAAATTATATGCACTCGAGCTGGTTCTCCATTCTTACCCTACTACCTTTAAAGTGAGTACTTCTCACTCGCTGGATAAATAGCCACTATAAGAAAGATAAAAAAGTCTTGAATTTAGAGTAGCATTCTCTCCCGGAATATCCAGCCAGGTTCATCGTATTCCTTTGTCCCTACTCACCTTGCCCTTCTCTGTTTCTGCTGCAGGCAAAACGCACATGTACGGTCTCCTACATCGTCGGGTTTCGATGTTGGGGCCCGTCGTGGCGTACGCGTTTACAGCTTTCGCCGCTCAGCATCAGAACCAACCCCTTTCTCCACACTACAGCCATACATGGCATGCTACCGTACTGAATGTTCTAAACAACAATTAAAAAAAAGACACACACACTACTGCATCCACGTTCACACACAACATAAAAACATCCAGAAGAAGCAGACTGGTGGACTAGAGCTGCCAGGAAAGATGAAGAAAAAACTCTAAGTTCATGTGTAGTACTCTGAGATTGGTTCTCTTTGTCAGATCTTATTTTTCGATTGGCTTTCTAGATAGAAAAGTGAAGAAACAGATGAAGAATATTAATGTAAACAGTGGAAAACGTAGCACTCTGTTGGTTCCACTGACCTTCAAATGTCGACGTCTCTGTTACCCGGAGGGAGAGGAGCTGTTCGTCTGTCAGGAAGCCAAACAGAAGCCCCTTTGAGTAGTGTCACCGTCAAATGTTGTCTGCACGTGTTGTGTGAACACACCCTAGAGCTGACATTTTGTACGGTGTAAAGTCAATGCGGACTTTATCGCTGCAAGGAAAGAAAAGCTTTCATAACGACTGGGTCACATAGTTACATTTCACCATGTGGAGAAAATAGTCGCTCTTTTTCTGGATCACGTTATTCTCAGATTTCTTTTCTTGATTATACCTCTCGAGAACTTGGTCATCTTACAAAACAAAAGTACTTAAAAAGAACCCCCCATTAATTTCACAGTGCAAACATGAACTCTCACTATCTAAGGTGATTATTTGCGATTGTCATCGGAGTATATGAACGATTTACAAGGGATAGTTTTGGGATTTTTTAAGTGGGGTTTATGAGGTACTTATCCCAACAGCTTAGCCGTTTTATCTAATACGTAGCTTTGTTTTGAAAGCCCCAGTTACGTTTATTGGAAGGAACGCTAACTTTAATTACGCCGCTCGGCCGATAACAGCCGACAACGTTTTTAGACACGCCAAGATAAAAGGCCCACTAAAAACACGCGCTCTATCAGGTTAAGTGTGTGCCTATACTTTGAAGATTTGTAACCGCTTTTAATTTGCTTGTCATACAACTCCCGTTCTAAAGGAGAATTAAAGCCTTTTATCCAAGCTGTATTTGAACCCCCACCACAAAAAGAGCAAAGACAGACGTTCCTCAATATTTGAATATTTAAAACCATGGGTCTCAAACTCAAAATTACACAGGTTGGCGCCAAAATAAAAAAGGGGTACTAGTCGAGGGCCGGACTGGTTCAATGTTTATTGCACCGAACGTAATTGAAATGAAGTCTGATTGCACCATATATAGACCTGGAACTAAACAAAGCTTAAGGATTATGGCTATAAAAAACACATTAAACATTAAATAATCAAGTTGGCATTCAATTTCTTATGGCTCTATCTGGCAGCTTCTCCAGAGTCATTTCTGTATGATTACATTTTCCACAGGCCAACAACGAGCTTCAACAAAACTATTTTCCCTCAAAGAAAAAAACCACAAACCCTATGCCCTGTTTGTCGTGAGAAAAATTGCAGAAGGAAACATCCATTAAACTCAGTGTGCTGCTCTGTGATGCTAGTTCAGATACTTGGCATCTCATCTTGGGTGCAAGTTCATTAATGTTTGGGCTCAGGATGGAGTGAAGGTGTGCGTGCAATACACCGGCGGGCCAAATCTAATAGTAATTAGAAATTATCCTGCGGGCCGAAATTAAATCCACCAAGGGCCTGATTTGGCCCCCGGGCCTTGAGTTTGACACATGTGATCTAAACACTCCACAAAGGTCATTTAACATTTATTTATAATAGATACATTGATCATTAACAGTTCACACTGCAATATAGAATTAGAACCTGGAAACACATTTTTGCTTTTTGTTTTACCGTGCCTTTAAATGAATTACAGTTTACAGTTTCATGGATAAGAAACAACACACTTTCAAAAACGTTTTACTTAAAATGTTATGAAAATCCATCTTTCTTGAAGACAATAGAAGATTCAACTGTGTTTTGATTGGCTCTATTCATCTGGTTTACTGTGTCTCAGTTCGAAGAAAAAAAACATGAGTTGTGTTTATTTTCAATATTAAGAACATTATTTTTTAACTTTTAATTCAAACTTGTATATCTGAAAAGAAAATAAGTTCCATTATGAAGCCATTATGTTTATTCGCATCAGCAGCTGCGGCTCTCTGGTCTTGTTTTTCACCAAAATGCTAAAAAAAAGACGAGGAAAAAGCAGATTTCTGTCTGTTCTGTGACTTTACTTCTTGCACCCTCTGATGGCTGTAAAGAGAACCAAATGTTGGTATGAGTGTACCAGATGAGATAATGATAGCTGTTGTTTAAAAAAAGAGATGTTTTGTGTCCCCTCTGTGTCCCTCTGAACTGTGTCTGTGTGTAACATCCATGTAATGATGTGGGATATGAGGGAGTCAAATATGTGCCAAAAAGTCTACCTGTTTCTGCTCAGCTGTAAAAAGACTGAATGTAAGATAAAAGTTGTAAATATACAGAATTAAATGCTCTCAATGCCGTGGAAAGCTCTTATTTTACTCACCAGAGCCTCTATCTGGTAAATATTAACGTCCTTTATTTGTTCAGCTTCCCCAGCTTCTTATTTTCTCCACGTTTCGGATACATTTTTCATTTGAGGATCTCCTGACAGTCCAGAGTTTATGCATTATGAAGATAACAGGCCTCAGAGTGGAAAACCATGAAGTGCACTGCATTATGTAGGTGACGGCTTGAATGGGGCCTATTGTCCGAGCTGTTTGAAGAATGGTAGGGCGCGGCGTTGGAGATAACCTCATTACTGTATGTATGTCCCTCTGTGCCCGAGGCGTCTCACCTCTCAGAGAACTCCTGGGTCTGAAGGTGTTTTGAGTTATTTTTGGTCAGGTGTGACATTAAAGGACATGAAAAGCCTCTTTCCTTCTTCGTCTCTCTTTGGGAGAAACCTTAGACATATAGGAGAGAAGAGATGTTATCAGATTTAGACGTGTACCTTTTGTCTATCTCCAGCAGGAAGGTGACTATTCTCACAGTTCAAGTTTAGCCATTCATCTCGGTGTTGTTTATTAGATGCACACAGGTGAAGAGACATGAGAACTGACAAAGAAGGGGTGTGACTCCAACTGTCATATACCCCAGGTAGTGACATCACAATCATGTGCCACACAGCGCTACCCAATGAACACAGTAGTAGTCGCAGCTACTTATATAAACAATAGAGAGGCGAAGTCCCTCCCTTTCCGGGGGACCACCATGGGACCTTATTTTGGAAAAAGTATGTATTGAAGTCAATGGCGAGAGAAAGATTATCTTTCGATCCCGTTTGAATTGTGCCACGAATTACACATATGATGTTTGTTAATTTAAAAGATAAGTTTGCAAGTCACATTTTTTTAAATGTGTTGTAAAACTGTGAAGTAACACTTTTTTTGGTGAAACCGCTCAATGAACTACATCTCCCGTCTCGCACCACACACCAAGACGGCCGTCCCGTTGGCACATTTCACTTCTTTCTTTCAGAATGAGGCGAAAAGTATTAAAAGAGGTGAAAATCACTACTCTGGGCATGTTGAGAGCTGTATACACAAAAGGGGAGTTAGTCGGTTCCGTAAGAGCCAGCATGCGGGACCAGGAGAATAAAGAATAAATGCAATTGCCAGAAGTAAATTGCTAACAAAATTATAAATGTCACCACCGCTAAGCTAAAGGCGGCTAATGTTGAGCGGGATGAAGTTTAGTCGTCTCGTTTTAGACACTTGTTAGCAACCGCTGTTTTTAAGAAAAATATAAGCTTCAGACATTCATCAGTGTAAACCAGAACAAAACGTTTACCTTACGATAAAAAACATTCAAAAAACCATTGACTTTGAGACAAGGGAACCCAGAATTGCTAAAATGCTAACTAATTTCCAGGTTTAAGAGTTAGATGAGAAGATTGATACCACTCATGTCTGTACTTTAAATGTAGCTACAGCTAACAGCCGGCTAGCTTTAGTTAGCGTAACTAACCTATCAAGTAAGGAAACAGCTAGCATGGCTCTTTGCAAAGGTTACAAAATC